TATAAACTCAGTAGTATATAAAAAGTACATAGTGCTACCTAAGGGACTATTGGCAGTGGTTAATCAAGCTATAATTACTAATGAGTCTACTATTAATGATTCAGACTCTAGCTCATGTATTACTTTATTTCTAAAACTTAAAGTAAAATAGAAGTTGTTAAATGTAGGAATCTGAAAGGATAGAGATTATTTCAAATTTAAGAACTTATCTGTTAATAATCTCTAAATTGAACAGAATTACTATTATAGCCTGGACATAGCTTATGCCTATAGAGAAGGCAGAGAGCCATGGGATCTCTGGAGATGGGGATATGGGGGAGGGGGGATGGGATGGGAAGAGGAGGCAGAGGAAGAAGATGCTCAGGAGGCTGGGGGCAGTGGAAGGAGGAGGAAAAAGATGACAATGATAATGGGTTAAAGAAATATGAGGCCAAAAGAAGACTAAATAAATAGGTTAAAATTACATATATATAAACCAGCTGCACTTGGACAACTCAAAACAGGAAATAGAGTTTTGGTTTCTCACCAGAAAGTTAAAAAATCAGAGACCTGTTAAACGAGAAAGGACCTTAGAGAGCACACCATCACTCTTTCTCACTCTTCCAAGCATTGCCAAGGAATACACTCAACATCGGAGAATATGAGGGATGCTCTAAATCCATTAAATCATTGCTTTGCTCTAGAAAGTCTTATTTAAAAAATGAAAAAATATAAATCTTAGAAATCAATTTCCTTCAATGAATTTGTAGAGAAAAACATGTAAACATAACCAAATATACATAAATTCACTTTTATAAAATTTATATGTCATCCAGGCAGTGGGGCCAGGAAGCATAGCCCACACCCCCAAGGACCCCCAGGAAAGTACCTGGCCCAAATCACTGCGATGAGGGTGCATGTGGCCAGCAGGGCCTTTGCCTGGGCCCTGCAGCAGGAGTTTGTAGAAACCACTCCTGAAGAAGAGACAGCTCCTGGCCACCTCTGTCCCTGTGTGTCACTTCTCCTGCACCACCTGGCAGGGGTGAGCTGCCCACTTGGAAGGTCCAAGGCGAGCTCTGGACTGCCAAAGGCTGAGTGATCACCCCCATGTCCACACAGCCAGCTGGGCCAAGTTGAGCCCCAAGGAGGCCCAGAACTACAAACACTTGTTTAAGGTGAAGGATAAATCTGTGGGTGGCTGCTTCTACTTGGAGTCAAAGGTGGTTTGCAAAGAAGAGCCTGGATGAGGAACTCAGAATCCAGGCCCAGGAGGACAGAGAGAAAAACGGTGGATGCCCAAAACATGACTGCTTGGCTGCCCCTACTCCACCCCACCCGCTCTAATTTATAGCTCAGTAATAAATATCTTTTCCACAAAAATTATTATATGTCAAATAAATGCAAATGAATGATTCATTATATATAACTTTCAGAGTCCCTCAACTATATAGTTCAAGTAAACTTCCTACCACTTTATACCATCTAAAGTTCTGTTTCAACAAATGTTTTCCTATTTGTTACTGCTTAAATTAAAATTTAAATGTAATTTAACTCACTGTTATTAATTTTATTTTGAATTATTATCTTTTCTGTGAACTTCCCTCAATCCAAGTCAATTCTAAAAGCTGTTTTCAAAAAGTTACATGTTTTCCTAATAGGAACTATGTTGAAAAACATCTTTTCTTTCTTTTAAATTTTAAAATCATTAAAGAATCCATCCTACTTCACATTCATGTTTTGTGAATCATTTTAGTAGCTGGTAATATTTTTTCAGAAAAATCTTCCTTTCAAAAAATGCATTATTTAAAAATGTTTAATCTAGTGAATCTTATAAACAATTTTTTGGAGGAACAAATACAAGACATATAATTAAAAGATCAGGCAGCCTTTGAGTTAAGAGAGGTAAATTATGGCTTAAGGAATACCCTCTGACTAGCTACATTATACCTTTGAAAAACACCTTAAATTCTTTTGGACTCAATTTTTTAATGTAAAATGGATTACAGTTCTCGCCAGCAAATTCTAACTCATAAATTCTATTATTCTTCAATTCTAATTCCATAAGAAAAGTCAATAGGAATATAGACTGTAATAACCAGACATTCATTTTATAAACAACTTTGCACCTGTGGAGAACTTTCTTTAAATATATTATTGATTTTTAGAGACAAAGGTAACCCATTTTCAAAGAAAAGTGACCTCAATTCTTCTGACAAATTTGAATTTCTTGACTCATAATAGTACTAATGTCCATAATGAAAGTTAACATATTTTAAATTATATATTTTTAAAAACAAGTCAAAATCTAACACATCTTCATAAAACAGTTAGGAATGAAGCGCTTACTTTTATCTGAAGATCCTCGGAACTTTCTACTGACATGTACAAAGAAAGCAGAACTGGCAAAGTATTTGTGACCGAGACGGCCCGTGCGTGTTCGGGAGTGTGCCTCCCAATCTGTCCTAAGGCCCAGGCAGCGGCAGCCTTAATATGATCTTCTGGTTCTTCTGACAAGCAGACTGACAACTGAGGTACACCCTGCAGCGTTGATCAAAAGAGCAAGTGTTATGAATCTAGAGCAGGATTAAAGAGTCTTCCACGTCTCTCAAACATTAGAAGAAATCATTTCGGCCTTGATCCCTTTTTTCCTAAACGGTTCAATAAATGAGCACATCACAGGGGCTGTCATTTCTTAAGTCAATAAAATGACTAGAGCTAAATTACCTTAATTATCTGTAACAATCCAACTAAAGTAAGAATATCTCCACTAGCGTTTACCCCCCAAATAGAAGGTATTTAACCAAATAACAGATGCTACAGACCGG